GTAGTAGTAGGAGGAGGAGGAGGGGGTGGTTGTCGTCGTGGCAGTCGTTGTAGCAACACAACTGGACCCATGACACTAACGTTTCTTCCATGATAGGCTAGCGGCTAGCAGACAAACAACAGATGATGCGGCTGAGGCTCATGACCTTCGGATCCGAGGATGAACATCGCTTTAATGGGCTCATGCATGGTTGTTTTATGCGGTCATACAGTATGAAGGTTGAACTGCTTGGAGAGAGAACCCTCGTGGCCCTAAGCCCGGAACGCATGCGCAACTATGCTTTCGGAGCCTGACTGTCGGCAAATCTCATCAGCCACATTGCCAGGCTGGACCGTTTCACTAATTGAGCAGGACAGTCGACTATGCATACGGATGAGAGAGGAGTCCAGATATTACATGCAAGTGTCATTTTCGAACCCTGCGACATCCATTCTATGATCCTAGGCCGGTGCGTCGTACATTTTCCTTGCATCTGCAAATGCCTTCCATAGCCTTCCTAGCCAACCCGAAACCAGGCGAGGAGCCTCCGAATCTGGATCCCCCGAAAGGGGTGGAGACACTTGGGGCCCTGCCGGCAGTGCGGAGGATGCTTCTCACGATGCAGGTCGGGTCAGGATGTGAATGGCTTCTGCACTTTGCACAAATATCCTTTATTACTTGCCGGATGCGCTTTGCATGTGAGATGACATTGCATCAGGCTGGGATTTGGGGATCCTGGTGTCTCTGAGAAGTGAAAAAGTCTTGGCAAGGCCAAAGCCGCTCAGTCCTACAGTCTGGGCTGCTGATTTCATCTTTTGCCAGTGCAGGTACGCTGGACTCGGGGTCTCGAAATGGAGGCTTCGTTCTGGAGCCTCAGCTGCACTGCTGTAGGGCGGCTTTTGACATGGTCTACAGGGTATAGGGGTATAGATGCATACACACCGCAAGACATGCATGCACAATTGTGAGCACGCACACGGAGACGCAGAGAGCGAAAGAGACACATGACATAGTGCAGGGGCAGGCAGAAACTTCAGAAAAGGGGGGGCTTTGCATGGACGGCTACATCCATGTCTGTCCACACCGAACTTCCCCTGTGAAGGAGAGGTAAGCTGTCCCTGGATCCGGAGGAGAATGTGAGCCTGGAGCGGTTGAAGACCCTTGTCTGCAATCCGCTTCGTATGCCCTGTTCCCAGATGGTCTGGACAAGGCTGCTACATCATCTGATTTCCGAGCTCCAAGTCGCAAAGCTGCTCTCTCGCTGAAGCCCTTCCTGATGTCCGGTCTACAACGCAAGCTCACGTATAGACTCCTTGGACATGATCGGCCTTGCCGTAGGCAATGGCTAGCCACTGGCGCTGTGCCCTGGACGCTGCCAGGAGATGACCTTTGTGGTTACGCTGCTTGGCCAGTCCAATGCCAAGTGAGCTATTTGCCAAAGGCGCTGTGGAGACAGGGGCTGTCGTTTGTGAGTAGTAGTTTGTGTGAGAGGCTATCGGGCACACACAGATTCAGGCTTTCGAGGGTTCATCGAGTCTTCTAGTCCGTTATAAGATGGCGGGTAATTCAGTACTTGTGCCGGCAGGGTTTCCCGTGAGCTGAGGTTGCAGACGCGCGGAAGACACGTGGTAAAAGCTACACCGGGGGGAAGATCCCGCGTGTGCTGAACGCCGGTGATTCAGCTGGCAAGAGATGCCCTCCGTTTTTGCGGTTTCTCAGACCAAGTCCTGCAAAAGTAAAGACATCATCACACTATACAGAGATTGTCACCATCGCCACTGTACTGTGCAAGCCGTCATGCTCGCTCATTGGCACAAGGTTCTGGCCCGTTGGCGCCGAAGCCTCTAGATTGCCAGCTGGACGGACGACCTTCCGCGGTGAAGGACGTGTTGTTTTTTGGGTTGGGGATTCTGAATTTTCGGGGACTCAAGTGCCTCTGTGGTGGCATGGGTAAATGCAAGATTCCACGATTCCACGATGGTTAATATTGCACAACTTAGTGAACTCGGAATTGGTCGGGTTCGGGTGTCTGAGTCGCCTCAACTGAGGGATCAACTTGTTTCAAAGAAGACTCCAGATTTCAGCCGGCATCAGGGGGGAAGCGACGAGGTTGTGATTTACCTCTTCTGCTCCAGACACGTATATATGTCGCATGTGGAGCTCCTATTCGTCATGCCCAAAATCCCCAAATAGCCGTAAACAGACGCCCTCTGGGCCGAAAAGCTTCAACATGAGAGTCCTTCTCAGAGCCCGAAGATGGTTTTGAAACGCTCAAAGCAGGTCGTGGCTGCAGACGGCCTGGCACGATTCTACAATCGTGCCGCTCGGATGGCCATCCAGGGTTTCAGGTTTGGGGACTTGAAGGCTCCCTGTTGCTTCCCGATCCACTCGGAGAGCGGCTTGGTTATTAAAAGCAGTGGGCCGAAAGCATCCGAAAAAGTTGGGGATGAAGGGAAGAGGGATCGGCAAACTGTCAGTACTCTGCTCGCAGATCGATGTTACGCTACTACAAGGAGATTGGTTTCCATTCCCCTTTGCGTTACGTCGGGTGTCATGCATCGCCTGAAGACAGATGCTGGGTCCAGCTCTCACTGAATGTTGCAGTCTCCGGAGTAGTGACAGCCAGAGTAGCGGGTAGTGAGAGGACGATGGACAACAAACTAACTGGACAGCAGAAACACGTCATGCACGCGTGGTTAGTCATAGCAGAGTATCTGCATCGGTACCTGAGGTTCTGGACGAGCGAGAGTTGAAGCCACCGTATTTGCCCCTCCAATGCCCGGTCGAGGTGGGTTGAGACTGCGGTCAGCGGTTTCGGTAGCTCAGGTCGCCGTTTTAGAGTTGGGAGTATTAGTCTTAGGTCGTAGGAGGTCTTAGGGTCTTAGGGTTGGGGGGTCCGACCTCCACAGCCCAAAGACCGAGACGGTGGGTGGAATAGGGTTGCTGGCTGCAGCCCTGTCGGAGGAGCTGCATGAGTGTTTTCCATCTCCCCACTTCGACGCGGTCCACATCCGAAACGCATTGGATCATAGCTTCGATCCTGCATCTTGGTCGTGGTATGAAGTGTCGTGACGGTGCTGTTTTCCGTGCTTCTCTTCATTTCATGTTTTTGTTTGCATTCATGAGGCTGTTGTGGGTTCTGCTGTTTGTCATTCGGCTATTCTGGAGAGTTGGCAGTATATATGTTTGTGTGGACAGCCATTGAGTCCTGCGTGGTAAAGCCCTACTCAAATCTGCAACACCCACGCTTCCTCAAGAATGCATGTCTCCTTGCTTGCAGCCTTCCTATAGTCTCCACTGCTTGGGATAATTCTTCTTCGGATCCTAAATCTAAATATCTAAATAAATAGAAAATACATAAATAATTATACATATATACATAGAAACATTAATAAATAAATAAATATATTTACAAGTTGTATATATATATATATAGTTTCGACCAAGAAAGGGACCTAGAATGCAGATAGAATGCAGACTGTATAGGTTTGCCACACGATCCACAAACCTTCGACTAGACATCTACAGGCCTGTCCCCAACTTCAGAAGACCAGGTCTTGGGCATCCAGCGTATGCTTCAGGCCCGCCATCGTCGAAACTTAGCAACAGTGAAGGGACACTGAGGGGTGTTTGGGACAGGCTTTCCGGGGCTATAGTGACGATGAGCCAGTCCCCACCATGACCTTGACATCTCCCTAATGCTGACCTAGTAAAACCACATGTTTCTTGCTGTGCTTTTGGTATCAGCAGATGATCGCAAAGTTCATGGGCTGATTCTTTGAGCAGGTTGAGGCCATGTTGTTGTACTCGTAGGCTTGTCCCAAATGCTTTGACTGGGGCCACTCTTAACCCTAAACCGTATAAACCCAAAGTTGTGAGAGCGTATAGAGCCTATTACCCCAAAATCCTAACCCTAGACCAGGTGACCCGGCCACGTGGCTGGGTCCTGCTGCGGCATGCGCGGAACGAGGGTGTGCCCGGCCAATTCCGCAACGGCCAAGGTCTTAGATGTTCTGCCGCCAGTCACCAGGTTTAGGGTTCAGGCTTTCGTTTTGGGGATTAGGGCCATGACGGGGCCGATTCAAGCTGCAACTAGGTGCAAGCTTATGCACACATGTCCGGCTCAAAGTTGTTGAGGGAAGCTCCGGCACCAGTTCTTCCAGCCCTTCCCCTTTTGCCGCGTCGGCGTCGCCCAGCAGAAGATGGCAGTGGCGGCGGCCCAGCCCCCACAGGTTGCAAGCGCAGCATCGATCGCCGTGCCCAAGAAGAAGGCCCACTGGGCCGTGAGCTTCCTGGCCGGCTTCTGCTCGGGGGCGACGGAAGTTTCTGTGACGATGCCCTTGGACACGGTGAAGACCTACTGCCAGGTCAACCGCACTGGACTGGGCCCAGTGGCCGGTGCACAGCAGATTTACCAACTCAAGGGAATTCACGGCTTTTACTTCGGGTTGCCTGCGGTGCTGGTTCAGGTGGCTGGAAAGGGTGCAATCCGATTCACTGCCTTCGAGCAGTTCAAGTTCCTTTTGCAGTACTGCGTGCCGAAGCCCTCCGTGGATTTCCTCGCGGGGATCGGTGCTGGATTCGCAGAGGCCTTCTTGTGGACGACGCCCACAGAGAGATTGAAGGTCCTGCGCCAGAACGACATCAAGTCTGGACTGAATCGCTACTCCAGCCTGGTGGGCTCCATCCGCACCGTAGCCACCGATCACGGCATCCGGGGTCTTTATGCAGGCATCGGCGCCACGGGCATCCGGCAAGCTTCTGGAGTTGGAGTTCGCTTTGCACTTTATGGCCATGTCAAGTCTGCTCTCACCACCGACCCACCGCAGATGTGGCAGTCGGCGGTTGCAGGCGGCATTACGGGCTGCTGCAGCACACTCCTGAACAATCCCATCGATGTGATCAAGTCACGAATCGAAGCACAGGATGGCAACACCAAGGAGTACACGAGCACTTTGCAGGCATTTCGAAAAATTTGGCAACAAGAGGGTGCCTTGGCTTTCTACAAAGGCGTTGCACCACGGTTGATGAAAATCTCGATCGGTCAGGCGATCACGTTCTCGGCTTACGAGGCATATTCCTCGGCGTTTTCCAGCTTGACGGGTTTGTGACGCTTTTTGGCCGGCCGTGGTTTCACTTGCGAGTCCCCTCCCCACAACATTGTGATGTCCGAACGCACTCTGTCCTGTCTCAGCTTCTTCTCCTAGCAAGTGAGGGGGCCAGCAATGCCAGTTTGTGTGCTCTGATCTCAGCCAATGCTTGCTGAGCTTTCCGGGCAGCGTGAGTTCTTGCGTACGTCTTTTGCCAATTACCTCCCTACACCCTGGCTAGCGGCTATAGCGTAAAGTTGAGTCTAGACATACTGAAAGAGAACCAACCCTGTACACATCAGCTGCCTTTCCCCTCCAGTCGTTTCTCCGCGGGTGCCCCGCAGAAGCTGGTGCGTTTGTGAAGACAACGTACTTCTTCTGATGCCGGCAAGCCATGCGCAGCCCAGGAACAATAGCAGGAAGAAAATTGTGCCTGTTTGTGCTGCGATCCTGCCGCTATAGTTGTTGTTTGCATGCACAGTCGCATCGGCGATTCCGGCTCCGTTCAGCCAACAGTTTCGACAGCTGGAGACGTGCCAACTGAACCCAGGCCTTCACCAGTGGGCCTTCGATGTGGACTCTGATGAGGCCAGCGAGCCGCACTTCATCATTTGGAACCCGGATCTCCGCCGCTTGGCCGCAATGCGTTGTTGGCTCCATGTCCAGGCATTGATCGAAGCTCCATAAACCCATCTAAACCCTAAACTGCAGGTGTGGACGTGACAGAGTTCTTGTTGGCCACAGGCTCTGCGGCAGAGGCCATGGTGTGGAGCGTGTCAACTTCAAGAATTAGGGCATCCTTTTGTAGCAATGCCTTCACTCACAGACCTCTGTCTGTGACTGAAGGACGAATCGCACGGCAAGGGCCGTCTGAAGACTGTGATCGTCCATGCGTCATCGCAAAGACACCAAGCCTGTAAACACCCTGCAAAGTGACACAAAATTAGCCACCTTTCGCTATGCGCTGAAATGGCTATTCATGCGAATCCAGGTGAAAACTCGTCTTGTGGATCATCCAAGCGATGATGCTCCTGAAGATGAGCGTTACGTCCACAGATGCATTATCGGACACTTGTTAAGCCGGCAGATGAAGGTCAGACGTCTTAGAGTCACATGTTCGGGTAAACAACAATAATGCATGTGTGACTTGGGAGAGCCGTTGTGAGTCCATAGATGAGCCGATAAGCCTGAGGCTTGTCATAGAATAAGACGGTCATGCCACACTACATCGCGACCAACAGCGAATAGGTAGAGCATTGGAGCGGTAAAGCAGCCACAAACTTGTCATAACAGCAGTTTCACAGGATTTGTTTCCTAGCAGCCGTCGCTTAAACAGCAGTGACATGGTCATGACCAAAACTCACAATAGACATTCCCAAAGCGAAGAAGCACAATAGTCATGCTTGGTGCTCGCAGCAGTCGCCGTCGCAGTCCGAGCTGCATAAGCAGCTGTCGTCGCGGTGGTAGCGGTAGTGTATTGTGCAAACCTGAGCAGTTCTGAGCGGAGTTATGTGTTGTTTCGCAGGAGGTGTATTTAAGCAGCGATTGCCATGAGCATCAATCTTGCCAGCTGCTTGTACGGGGCCGACCTTGCGTGTACATGCGGTGTAGCATGGTGTTGTCCACCATCGGCAGTCTATCTGCAGCATAGCACGTCAATGGTGACATGGTGACTGATGTCCGTCAGCATAAACACAAAGAAAATACGCAGCATGGCTGTCTCAGTGATGGCGAGAAGAGTTGCATGAACAGCAACCCAATGTGATGGTGATGACTGCGGTGTTGCTACACGGTCGGTGTAGGGCCCAAGGATCAAGCGTTGCTGTTTTTGGAAGCAAGCGGCTTGTGATGCTGCTGTTGAATTTGCTTCAGGTCTGGGTCGATGTTCGCAAGCCGACCGTGACAGAGCTGGCCAAACACTTCAGGATTGAGGATGACATCTGACGAATCTGAGTTTAAGAGTTCACAAGCTATGCTAGCTGTTCGCTGACCATCAATAGCAATTCATTGACGTCAGGGTGTTGCTAATGACTGCTTACCATACCAAAATCTCGGTTACGGTCTAGGAGAGTCTAGGAAGACAGGGTTCATCAGGGTTCGATAAGTCAATGAAAGTATCGATCCGACAATGTTTCGCCCAAGCTGCAGCGCCGTGTGCGTGCGAAAAAGGACACAGAGAGTGATGCAGCCAACTTCGTCAGACAATCCTCATTGTCATCCATCTGTGCTGTTGTGGTACTGGAAACGGTTACAAGACAAAAGCATGTGAAGACTTTCCAACCTATCTCTGCTCCGTTGAAGATATATGAAGTCGATTAGGTTAAGCACCTCAAGTTTTATGCAACTTCAGAGCATTTTCCTGCAACTTAAGTCTCAACACCAGAAAAGGTAGGGCACATGGTGGATCAGACCAAGCCAAAGCCTCTCCAGCAGAGCTACAATTGTGTTGGGGGCTCCTGTTGTTGTACTGATCAGAGGTCAGTACTGTATCCCAAACCCAGACCGATTGAGTTCAGGTTTGAGAAAGATCTATCACAGCTACCTCAAAGCCTGGAGGTCTTGCTTGGACAAGGAGGGGCGGGCAATGTAGGGTTGATTTGTGAGAAGATCCGACAGGCTTGCTCTTGGAGAGCCAGGAAGCCTAGATTCACGACCTCGTCGTCATTTCGAACTAGTCGGCTACAAGCTCGTCGTGTGGCTGAGACTGTTGGAAGTAGAATCACATGAGCGCCATGAAGCAGAAAGCCAATCTCCATCAGCATAGCTTGCAGCAGCGGAATGCTGCCTGCTCTCCGAAGCCACAGGACAACAGCAACCGTGTGACCTGGCAGAGGTTTCAAGAAGGAGCCTCCCGAGCTCTTTGGCCAAATGTGAGCTTTCATTCAGAAACTCTGTGCCCAGATGTGCCCCAAAATGGTATGCACTTAGAGCACGCTTGAGCTTTCCCTTTCTGCTCCTGAGGTTTGCTTTCACAACGATTTGGCTGGGGCATGGCGATTTCTAACAGCCTGGGCCCCCAGCGACGATGGGGGGTGTCCCGCAAGCTTTCTCTTCGAGTGCTGGCATCGCAGCCATCCATTTGCATATTGGTCGGTGCCGACAAGCGTGAAGTGAGCTCCGTGCCTCCTTCACGCACGGATAACAACTCCAGCCCAAATCAAACTCAAACAAAAAAGGAAAGGCGCTCTCATGAATGCAGACACAAACCTCAACAAAATCAAGTGGTCGAATGCCTTCCGTTGTACTCAAAGGCAGCAGGTCTTCTCAGCATGCTGCTGCTCGAGCCAGCTGCTCATGAAGCTCCCACCCGCCCGGGAATCCCTGCCCGACACTGAAGGACGAATCCTTACGGTTGCAACGGACATGCAAGCTCGAAGTCTCTGAACCCTCAACTTCACACCTTTTACACGACTAATCCAAGAATGGGAAATCGAAGCCTGACGAGACCAGGCGGGCTCCACGTACCTCACCTTGCACAATATCGACCCGGACTCTGCAGAGCTGATCTCCAAGCAGCTGGGCTCCTTCTTTCGGATTCCAGCTCAGGCTATTGCTGCTGTTGTGCTAGACCCAATGACATGGCATGAATGTGCCCCTAGAGAGCCGAATCTCGAGATCTCGGCTTACCATCGAGTCCCTGGAATGCTTTGGGTGTGTTTGTCCTCGAAAGCCCCCGGTGAGCTGCAGCGGGTGATGCCCTGACTCCCGCACCCCAATATTCTGACCTGCGCCAAGATTCCAATCCTTCGCGGACGAGCAGTTTGGGGGCCGCTTTGCCAAAACCGACCTTGTTCCAATTGATCTGCTGAATTGGGAGTTTGTTGGGCCGAGACAATCTTTCAGGATGAGTGAGTGCCTTGGACGTATTCGATACCTACTTGTTACCAGGGTCTTTGTTTGCGAAACTGTGGCAAACCAAGCAGTCCGGGCAGACGAGAAGGACAGCCACCGTAATGCAAGCCGTAGCTGGGCAGTCGAAGGATGTGCTTTACAGAGTCTTTAAGCTACTACTATGTTTGCAAGGCCTGGTCGTCGAGTTGCACCGATGACACCAAAGCTGATCACATGGCATACAGCCCGGGAACTCTTGCCAGGCATGATGAGTGCTTTCAAGCTTTTCGACTTGGACAAGAACGGCACCTCGCCCGGTGCTTGAGAGTTTCTCGTTTCCTTAGGAAGAGAAGAGATGCCGTAACGATTGCTATTGAGATGGAATCTGTTCCGATTTCCTCTTGGCCTGGCTTCGGAAGTGCTCTGGCTTTTTCCAGCCTGGAGCTGGAACGGATCGTTGGAAAGGTTACGTGGACGTCACCGAGTTCACACGCGTTCTGATCGGCTTCGGCTATCCTGGAAGTGGCATGGCTTGAAAGACTGCTACAAGCGCAACACAGTACCAAGTGCGACATGGTCAACTCTGCACAACTCTTGCAAAGCCTTGGCAGCAGTCATAGAGGCTGTTTGTGTGGCCACATCAGTAACTACCCTTGCAGAGTTGCGCTCGCGACGTGATCCAAGGTCAAGTGAAAGCCCTGTTCAACTGTCTGGACGTGGACGGCAGCCTGACCGTAAGATTGGCTTTCGATGTAACTCACGCCGCCAGAACAGAAAGTTACTTCAAAGTATTCAGTATAAGCTTACGATTAGTACTATGAGGTACTAGGGGTTAATTATCAAAAGGTGATTGTGATCTGGCGGGGGGGCTTCGGAAAAGTGCGGGTTCAACTTCCGACATGCCCATCGAGTGCAAAGCCAATTGCAGCTCATTTCACATGGAGTTTAGGCCCGCAGGAGGGTTCTCCATTGGCCGAGATTCCTGAGATTCCCATATGTGACAGTTATGCCTCCTGTTTCTGTCGTTTGTCACGCTCCGGCATCGTGCCCTCCAACACAAGGCGACTACACAACAAACAGCTTGTTCAGGTAACTGCCGCCTCTCGCGACGGAATCTGCAAATCGGCCTTGTTGATACGGTCGTCACCCCTGGTTTTGTTTGGGATTTCGGACTGTTGAGCTGTAGGAAA